ATTGGTTTAAACATTTTTTACTGAACACCTAATATGTGTTGGGGACATAGGATTAAACAAAATATCCTTCATGGAGATATTCTAATGGGAGGAAACAATAATTTAAATGATTGTCTTTATATGGTGATGAGGGCTATGGAAAAAAAATAATAAAGCAGGGAAAGATATGGAAGGGGCTCCAGAAATGGGGTTGGGGTTACAATTTCATATAGAGTGGGAAGGGAAGGTCTGATTGAGAATGTGGTATTTGAGTGAAGACTTAAAGGAGGTGAAGGAGTGAGGCATGCAGATATTTGGTGAAAATATTTCAGGCAGATGGAATAGTGAGGGCAAGGGTCCCGAGATGGGTGTGTGCCTGGCGAATTTGGAGAAAATGCTGGGACGCAGTTATCAGCTGCAGCGGGATGAGACACACTGAGGGACCACCTCAAGTAGGACACGGAGGGCTATTTGTAATGACTTCGAGCTTTCACCATGAATGAGATGGGAAGCCATCTGGAGCACCATGGTATGACTCAGACCTGAAAAGGAGTTCTCTAATTGTGGTTTTGGGGAATAGACTGCTGAGTAGTGAAGCCGGGGATCTGTTAGGAGGCAATAATCCAGTGAGGGGATGATGGTGGCTTCAATTAGGAAGATGGCAGTGAAGGCGTGAGAGGTTGTCAGATTCTGGAATATTATGAAGGTAGAGCCAGAAGAAGCTGCTGATGGATTGCATGTGAAATGTGAGAGAAGGAGAGGCATCCAGAAGAAATCCAAGATCTGGGGCCTGAGCAGTGGAGGGATAAAGGTGAGGTGGGGAAGACAGTAGGAGGACCATGCAAAAGCAAAACTGAGAGGGACTCACAGACAGAAAAGAAACTTATGGTTACTGGCGGGGGAAAGGGGATGGGGAGGGATAAACTGGGAGTTTGGGATTAGCAGATATACACTACTATATATAAAACAGATAAACAATAAGGACCTACTGTATAGCAGATGGAACTCTATTAAATATCTTGTAATACCCTATAATGAAAAAGAATATTGAAAAGAATATATATGTGTATGACTGAATCACTATGCTGTAGATCAGAAATAGTACAACAGTGTAAATCAACAATACTTCAATAAAAAAAAGAGGGAAAAGTTTCTTTATTGGATTTTTAAGTTTAAGATGCCGATTAGATGTCAAAGAGACTGCGGATGGACTGAGTCGGCATTTAGAGGTTAGGTCTGGTTTGGAAATACACATTCAGGAGTCAGCTGACAGGAAATGGAAAGGAATGGGGATCTTGAGCCCTGCTCTCTTTTAACCTGAGGGGTTTTGTGGGAAATGTTTCCAAGCACATAATTGTCCTGCCTGAGTTCAGTGCTCACTGACAAAACTGAGTTTAAAATATGAAAATGAGAAGACTGTAGAATAGAACTGAATTAAGGTCTAGGAAGTGAAATGGGTGGTGAGAGAGTGTCTGGAATTTAGCCTAAATTAGGTTATTAAATCCTCACAAGATGGGTATTATTGCCTCTATTTGATGGAGGAGGAAACTGACTTTCAAAGAGGTCAAGTGACTTGTCCAACATCACAGAGTCAGTAAGTTGTGGAGCTGGGAATTGAAGCCCAGTCTGGCTAACTCTGGAGCCCAGGTCCTTCCCTGGGACCTTACAAGGCTTCTCTGTCAGTTAGTTTAAAGGGTAGGAATCATCCTGTCTTCTGGGCTCAGGGCTCACTTCTCTATTTATGAGGTCAATCTTTCTGTCCCAGGGAGAGGTCCAGACTGGTTTCCACAAAATGGGGCAAGGGAAGCCGTAACTGGAAATATCCATTACTTGATAACTATTTCCACTATTATTCTGAAAGCAAAGGACGCCGTATATCTCACTGCTAGGTTACAGGAGGTCATGAATGAGCAAAATATGAGTAGGACTGACGAGGAAGAGAAACCTGGAATAGGAACCCATCCCATTAGTTATCATTACCACTGCTGACATCAGGCCAGAAAACCTCTCAACTCAGGGCACCACATTAGCCAATTTAAATGAGGTCCCTCAAACTCTAAGGTACCCTCCTCCCTTCCCCCCAATCACTTCACTCTGCTAGATTAGCGAGGCCATCTGTAAGGAAAGAAAAGAATCCTGGTGAATAGGCTGCCTCTGTCAACAATGAGCCTGCTTATTCTCAGTGTCCTTTCTTCTTAGGTGCCCTGTAGAAGGTCAAGTTGTTTATCATCTATAATAACACCTCAGAATCAAATGTCAGTGACATCGACACGGGCGGATAAGCGCGCTTGTTCAAAGTGAAACGGATAATACTGTTCAGTTTGCCGATCACACAGCACAAGGGGAGGAAGGAAGGGAACAGGAGGATGGAGCAACGTCCCTCACAAAGGGAGACGGGGAGCCATGCCAACAGCCGTCCCTTTCCAGAACACCAAAGAAGCCATTGATACTAACTCTGTTTTGGCCTTGACCCGAGACACCTGATCTCAGTTTAGAGACATTTCCACCGCAGAACTAAGCAGTCTGTCCTGACAGGGCCCTGGAGATCACACACGCCCGGCCAGCCCCTCACTGGGGCATGGGCTCTGCTGAGTCTCCATGACATGTGGTGCAGCTGCACCCGTCAGGGCGGCCTTCGCTGCTTCCTACAACTCTGGGGTCTTCAGGAGTTCACTGTGGAGTTTGTGATGTCAGGGCTCACTTACTTTTGCCCTCTGGCTCCATTTTATTTGGTCACTTTTCTAGCATTAAGAAGTACTCCCCACCCCACTCCCATCAAAATGAAAGGAAGATGACTGGAAGGAGATTTTTTGCTTTGGGTTCTCCGGCAGGTGGGCAGTTGCAAGGGCTGCCTACAGTGAGGTAGGTTCTTGAGGCTGAGTGCCTTGGGGACTAGGCTCTTTGACTTTCCTTCTACATGGGGTAGGAAATTCAGTTGTGAGTTGGTAAGGAAAGATAACAAGCAAGACGAGGTTTGTATTACAGGACCCAGTGGCACAAAGCCACAGGGGACAAGAAATAGTGGGCATGTAGCCACTGACAGGAATTTTAGTATCCTTGTCTCTCGGGGTCTGATCTCTTGATGCCCTGAGGGAAGTGATATACTCACCGGGAACCAGTGCTGACTAAGGCCCGGAGATTTCACTTTCAAGCTGATGGTGTCTGGGGTGAATTAATATAACACATGAAACTGCCCTCCCCTCCACCACAGTTAATTTTCTTAAAAAAAAAAAACCAAAACTTTCTGGAGAATGAAATGCTCAGATACTCAGTAGCTTAAAAAGTAACAGTGAGTGTTAAGCTGGCATCCTGGACAGGAAGCAGCTCCCTAAGATGAGAAGATGGTTAGTGTGGGCTCCAGTCATGCTCAGCCAAATAAACAGGACTTGAACTTTCCGGCAGCTCCAGCCAAAGCCCTCACCAGCGCTTTTGTTCAACTAAACTTAAGGGTGCAGTTAACAATTTCCATGACTTGGGCTTCCTTGCCTTCAAGTTACGAGACAGTAAACAAGTAGGAAAGAAAGGGAGACGCCAACATTTCAGAAATTGTGACCTTCAAAGGAGGAGGAAGAAGTCCAACCACAGGGAAAGTGGTCAGAAATGCGATACCCTTTTTGTGAGAGCCCACAGAGACCCCAGATTGCCAAACCACTGTATCTGAGGAGGCATTGCCAGGACTGAAGCTTCCAGAAACCTTTGAATGGCTCATTTATTTTACTGGGGCTGAAGCTGTGGGGTAATTGTCAGGGAAGTCTGTGGATATGATTGATGCTCGGGCAAGCAGGCTTTCATTGTCAGCCAGGAAGCCCTCCGTAATTACCCACCGCAATGTGCCGTGCAGACCCGTGTGTGTGCTGGGGGTGGGGTGAAGGGGGAAGGATAGCCCCCCTTGTGCTTTTAAATCCAGGCCAAGATTTGCCCCTGCTTGGTGTTTATACCACAGAGTCATCAGAGAGAGGTGAAGGCGTCAAAGTTTTCTATGTGCTAAACCCTACGCTAAACATGAATTTCCGCTCCTCCTGTAACTCAAGCCTCCCAGGGCCTCCCGACTCTAACAGGATTAGATGAATGGTAATAGCCTGGCGATCACAGGCCTCCCCCCAGCTGCATGGTCCAGAAACTCTCACCCAGTTTTGGATACTCCCCAGTGGGGTCTCGTGTGACCGCAGAACAGCCCTCTGACGCTCCTCTGTTCTGGGGCTCCTGGGAAGCCACCTGAGGGTGGCTGTGCCCCTCCTCAGCTCTGCACAGCTCTGGGCTTCTTCTCGACAGCCCAGATGCCAGGCCAGGAGGGTTGCCTTCCCCCCGAGCCCCATGTCGACAAGATGCTGAGGAGCTGCAGTGCTTTCCAGAGCCCTCACGGCGCTGAGGCCGCCTGTCTCCCTGACGCTGTCACTTCTGCCTCTGAGGCGGCCATGAGCAAGGTCATGCATACTCTTGTGAGAACATATCCTTCCTCTTCTGCCCGTGGCCTCTTCTTTCACGCAGGGCAGAGGGAAGTTCGGGAGGCTAGGTGGAAGGACCAACCTTCCAGACAAGTGCTTCGCAAACGTTAGCATTCACTAGTGTCAGCTGAAGGCTGTGTTAAGCCCTTCTGGGTTTCAACCCCAGGCTTTCTGATTTAGTAAGTGTGGGGTGGGACCCAAGGTTTCACATGTCTAATGAGCTCCCAGTGATGCTGATGCTGCTGGTATGAGTGCCACATTTTGAGAACCCCTGTTCTAGATTAGCACCGGGCCTACCCAGGATCCCCGTCCCACTGGCTGTATTGCTGGTGGCTCCTGCCCGTCAACAGGAATGCATATGCCTAGCTGTGTGTGGATCTTAGCAGAGGGCCCAGTTTATGTCTGAGCTGGCTACTCCAATACTATCATAGACGATGAGAAAATGCTGATCCTCCCATGTTTTGCTTTTAAAGCAGACATTACTTGCCTGCATTCTGGCAATTCAGGATTTAACTTAGGAACTTGAAACTTGCACACAGCTTATGTATGACTGGTTGACCAGCATTATTCCCGGGGTAGGGGTGGGTGGGGCTCGCTTAAATGGAACCAGCTTTCTAGCCACTGAAATTACACTCAGCCACATCACTAGACATTTACTGAGCACCTACTGAGGATACAGAAAGAGACAGGCAGGGCCCTGCTCTCTTCAGTGTGTAGTCTAGTTGAGGGGACAAATTTTAACAAATTAATCTGCAAATAGAGATCCAATTACAAATTAGGGTAAGTGTTTGAAAGAGAATGGGAGAAGGATGTTCTTCAATAGAATGATTAAGGAAGGTCTCAGCGAGGAAGGGATATTTAAATGGATTAAAGTGACTTTTAAAACTCCTTATATGACTTACCTTTCAACAGCATTTGACACATCTAACAATTCCTTTCTTCAGCTAAACTCCACGCTCTTGTTATGCTGATCTCTTCCTCAGCCCATCCTTCATTAGGTGTTTTTCAGTCCGACCCTCAGCTTTCCTGTCTGACTAACATCTCCCCGGGTCAATTTCACCCACCCCCATAGCTTCCACCACTGCCAGTGTGCTAAAGCGTCCTGCCAGATGCTGCCCCAGCCCTTGGCTCATTTATCCAGCTTCCTTCTTGTGCCTCCATTTGGGTTGTCACCAGGCAGTTCAGCACCATTCTTCCCAAGTGCCACTGTCGCCATCAGCACAGCTTGTTGGTGAAGCCTAAAACCAGGAAGCCAGCCTGGACTTCCCTTTCTTCCTTTCTGTCCCCTCACCCAAACACAGACACACTTTTTTAAAATCACTAAGTTCTGTTGACTCTATATCCTTATTTTCTTCTGTCTCTAATCTTCAATGTCCATGCCCCTTGGGCCTCCTTTTGTTCAGACACTTGGTCTCCAGCCAACTTCCCATCTCCTCCTCCTCCCTCTGCCCCCACATGGACAGAAGCCTCACTGGACCACCTTTCCACCCTCCACCCCTGCCCCATCGTTCCTCCAATCAACCCTCTTCTCTGCTATAAGGGAGAGTGCCTAACATTTACAACTGATCAGATCAGGCTGCTGTTCAGAATTCATCAATGGCCTCTGCTCTGGGTCCTGCTCTACACTTTAGTCCAGCTCTCTCGCAGCCCCTCGCCCCAAGTTCCCCTCCCAGAGGGATGGGCATAACTTGACCTTGTGCCCTCACCCCATCCCCGCCTCCAATCCAGAAATCCCCTGTACACACAGTTCGGAAGGGCCTCTGTCTGCATCCTTGCATAGGCCTGGGAAGTATTCGGGGTAGGCCATTTGCCCCCTCACACTTTCCCCACCTCCCCTCATCTGCTGGGCATTCATTTTCCTCTGCTGGCAGTGCCCTGCTCTTCTACCCATCAGAGTAAAACTCCTACTCCTCACTAGGTTTCAGCAACACCATCTCCCTGCCGCCCCAGTAAGTCCAGGCTGCTTTCTGTGTTCTTGCTGCACTTTGATGCATGGCCGTTTTCTCATTCCTGGAAGGCATTGCTGGCAGCTACTCCCTTTTTGTTATATTTCTAGCCTTTTCTGGGCCTGTAGACACCAAGAATAAGGGAAGCTACTTCTATTAGCCAAAAAATGTATCTTGCTTGCCCAGTTTCACCACTGCATGAGAATTTAGAAAAAGCAGACACCAGCATGGGCACGTGGTGTCTTCTATCATTAAGAGTAACAGCTGCCCCATATATTGAGCCTGTCCTGTGTGCCAGGCCCTATAGTAAAGTGCTTCACATACCGTATTGTATTTATCTTCACTATAACCCTGTGAAGCACACATGATTATTAAACCCACTTTACAAATATAGAAACTGAGGCTCAGCAAGGTTAAATTAAATGTCCCATGTTGCACAGCCAGGAAGGGAAAAGTCACGGTCCCTCTAATGAGTCTCATGCCCACACTCTGTTGCAGTGTCTCATGCTGTTCTGCACGCCGCATTAGAGCAACCTGTCAGCCCAAAATGTGCAGTCACTCCTCTTCCAACCATTACAAATGCATTTAAACATAACAAAGTATTCTTAGGGAAGAAATTCCTATAGAATCAGCCAGTAATTTTCCTTAAGGAAAGAATATAGAGCAACAGTAAAAAAAAATTAACCTGCTAAATTTTAGCTCCAATTTCATTTAGTATGAGTGTTTGTAATAAGAGACCCGTTTAAGATTTTTTTTTATAATATGATAAAATATTTATTTTCTCCCAAATCAGGGCTGCTGCTGTATTGCACACCTCCAGGGGAAACTATTGTTATTGTGGTCTATGTATGTGTTTCCATCTGTGCTTGCAGCGTACGCAGGCTTTGCAGTCATACCTGGCGGCTCTGCTCCAATCATTTAAGGTAGTTTTTAAACTTAAAAGGCCCAACAGAAAATTTGTTCCAAGGAATTATTATGTGTGTGTGTGTTTTAGATGAAGCAATTAGGCTGCTTCTAGAACAGAAACAGAAAGGGAGCAACAATGTCGAGAATTAAAATTTCTTCCCTCTTACCTGAGCCCACGAGTTCTTAGATAGTCAAAATACTAACTTATTAACTAATATCAATAACTAAGCAGCAGAGGAAAGATGCATCATGGCACTTACGTGTTCAGTAGCATCAGAATCATGTGCTAATCCGAGCATCAAGATATAACTCCCCCACCGAGGTGCCCCGTAAGACGTGCCATCTCCATCTGCGGCAGAATTAACTCGCTGTGCTTTTAGGAAGTGAATGCACATTAAAGACAAAGGCAAGAGAACATGTTGGCAACAGGCAACGGCTAAAAGGGAATTTCAGCTTGCTGGTCCATACAACTGACTCAAAAGAGGATCTTTGAAATTAGGAAGTCAGAGCTAGTGGGAAAGCTTATCAAGGCAGAACCGCACAGCCCCCCACAGTTGCAGGGTAGATATTCTGTAAAGGCACAGTCCAATAGCAGCAGCGGCTGGCCACTGCTGTGTATTTCTTCCAGCAGGCAGATGCCTGATGGCTCTCGGGATGCCAGGCCAGTAACTCCAGCAAACAGGGGCTGTTTCCTGAAAGATCAGTAAGAATTGCACTGAATTCCACAGCACCCAGCTCATGGCTGTTTAACACTCAAGCAGCCCTCCGCTGGCCCTCCTTTGAGCGTAAGCTTCTAAAAGTAAGGGCCCTATTTCCTCCTTCTTCTCCGACCCTCATCGTGCCCACTGCAAACCCGAACACTTCTTCTGTCTTGGCTAGTGAATTCTCACACAACGAATGGAAAAAGACCTCAAGCATACAGACACCATGAAATTGTGCTTTTAAGGGTGAACTAATGATGAGGTGAAAAGCTCTCCTCTGGTAGGTTAACAATAAAAAGTATAAAAATAGATACCTCTATTTTTATGTGCTCTATGTGCTAAGGACTGTGTGCCTTATAATAATTTTTGTCTTTACTCCTCACACCAAGCCTGTAAAGCAGGCGTGGATCAATCCTGTTTAACAGATAAGGAAACTAAGGCTGAAGGAGGCAGAGCAACTTGTTCAAGGTCACACGTTCAGCAACTGACAAAATGTCTAAGTTCAAAGCATAAGAACCCCACCTTGAGAGGTGGTCTCATTAGGGACAGCGCTGGCTCACAGGGAAGAATCTGGCCCAGCTTTGAGCACACAGAACAACTGTAGCCTGTGCCACAAGGGTATGTTACTGCTCCCTTTTTAAATTCCTTTGGATGTGCCAACCTTACAACAGGGACCATGCCTACCTCTTTAATATCACCCACTGCATATCCCAGCATCCAGGCACATATCCAGTACTTAGTCAGTCATGGTTGATTGATGCTTTATGCTGTGGACACTGATTATCTTCATTCATTCAGTAAACGCTCACTGAAGCCCACTTCTGTGCCGACGATGGACTAGTTTCTATCGGAAATAACAAAACGAAAATGCTACTTATCTTGCCCTCAAATCTAGAAAGGGGAGTTGTACATTCATGTAGGGAAGAGGACCCCCACGCACATGTTGCCTGTTCCCCTTCCCTGTTCCTCCGCACAAAAGGAAGGAATGTTAATCTGATTGGTCTGGTTCTAGAACATTTTTTGAGCCACACTTTCTGATGGCTAGGTGTAATGGTTAATTTTATGTGTCAGTTTGACCAGACCACAGGGTGCCCAATTATTTGGTGAAACACTAACCTGGGTGTACCTGTAAGTATGTTTTTGGATGAAATTAACATTTAAAGTGGCAGACTGAGCAAAGCAGATGGCTCTCCCTAACCTGGGGGACCTCATCCAATCAGTTGAAGGCCTGAATAGAACAAAAAGGCTGACCCTCCCCCAAGTAAGAGAGAATTCTTCCTGCTTGAGGCCTTCCTGGGACATTGGCCTCTTCCTGCCTTTGGATTTGAACTGACTTTTTCTGGGTCTTGAACTTCTGGTCTTTGGACTAGAACTACATCATTGGCTGTCCTGGGTCTCCAGCTTGCCAACTCACCCTGCAGATCTTGGGACTTGCCAGCTTCCAAAATTGTGTGAACTGTTCCTTATAGTGAGTAATATTTCAATCTATCTCTATCTAATCTATCTAAGACTGTTTCTCTGGAGAACCCTGACTAATGCAGCAGGGCTACTGTGTCTTAAGAAGTTCACTCTTCCCTTACTTCCATTGCAAATAGTACAACTGCAAGCTGAAATAAGTCTCCTTCAGTTACTTGGCCATCTTTTGTTGTTGTTGTTCTTATCTCTTTATATGAATATCTAAGATTACAGGTCTTTTGTTTTAGTTTCCATACCATGTGACAAACTAGAAAATGGGATTCCAAGATTTAGATTCCGCCTCCGAGCACAGAAGATAATCCACTGGCCTTGAGTCTAAGCTCTGGGCTTTAACTCAGGTTTACAAAAGCTCTGAATTGGGTAGTAATGGTCACTGGCCTAGCCAAAAATTGGTGCTTTATTTTATACATCCCTGGTGTGTAAATTTCATTTGGGAGCTTGGTGGAGAGAATAGTGATTGGCAGCGATTTTTAGGTCCCTGTTTCTAATACCATAAAAGACTACCAAAACTTTACTACCTGACAGACTCCCTTAGCTACATCACGGAGACATAATAAGAGGTTATCATTGAAGCACAGTCATATGCTAAGGGCCCCAAGGAAAGCGCAGTTTTGATTAGAGAGCATTGGGGAATGTATGTGCTCTTTAGGTCTCTTTTTCCAATACTGGTTCAAGAAATGGCCTTGGAATATAAAGAACATTGAGAGCTAAGCAATGCACATGATAGAGCTGGGTTAGAGTGTGCATCATTGTTGAAAAGGGGCTGATACACAACCTGGATAAGCAAGGCCAAAGACGCTGGCCATATCTGTGACAGGAAAACAATACTTATACTTATCTATGTAGAAATATATACCTATTCACATTCATTCATTAATGTTCTTTCTTAATCATAATCCTTAAAGCCCACTAAATCCAAATAACTTCTTGGTTGCCTAGACAGGGTGATAAATGACATAGATTTGTACTCCATAACTAAGTCCAGACATAGCTTTTAAAAAAAATCAGTGTCGTATTCAATAACAGTCTAAATTTATACTCTAAACACCGGTACTCCAATAATCTACTTATTTTTGTAAATATATTTGTGTTTTAATGTGATCCTACCTTTTTAAAATGGGCACCATTCTGCCCTTATAAGGGTATTGGGTGTATGTATTCAATTGACTTCCCTCCTCTGCAAGGAAGAATGGCTGTGGCTCTCACACTGACGCTGCCTACTAGAACGGCCTGCAGCAGGCGGAGATCAAGAGCCTCTTTTCATCACCCAACCATTGATTTTTCTGCAAGACAAACCACAAAGCTGCTTTGAAGTCCAGGGGAGAGCTGCAAGGGAAGAGGGAGATAAAACTGAAGGAAACAGTGGATGTGAAATAAAGTTAATCTCTGTCATCTAGGTGTAGATGGCTATTGGCAAAGCTGAAACTGCCGGATTTTATCAAAAGAGAACTCAGATTGTTCTAAAAAGAGGATATTTTAAGTTGATAAAACTGGGTTAGGGGAAGGGTAGTGTAGAAAACAAAGAGAAATCTGAAAGGATCTTGGATAAAACTTATCAACTTAGCAGAAATGGTTGCTTTTAATCAAACAGGCACAAGTGTGCAGTGTACAATCTTACCGCTGCTCATAGAGTCTCTTCCTTTTTGAGTAATGTAAAATAGGACCATATATATGGATTGTAAGAGTGATTATTTTTTGTGTCAAAATTTCTTATTTAAAAACGATTGGGTAGCAAAAAATTTTGTCTTGGTAGTTTTACAGAACAGTTAGGACTTTAATAAAAATTATAAACATACTACATCTGAATAATACTTTTCCTTTTGCAAGATCCTTTCCCATGAGCTTCAGCATAAGCCTGGGAGACAGGCTGGATCAGTGCTATTATCTCTATGTTATCCCTGTGTGAGAGAGCCTAAGTGAATTGCACGGGGACACACCCAGAGCAACAGTGCAGAGGCCGGAAGAATTCAGGTCCTCTGACTCCTGGTCTCCCCCTTGTCCTGAAGGCTCCCTCTAATTTGTGGTTTCTTAAGGGAGAGAAAAACTCTCCTCCCTTCTCTTTCTGAAACATGTACTATTTTCCTCAGTGTGTTTTTTTTTTGACAACTTACTCTTAATGCAATCGCTTTGGGATCTTGAAACATATTTCTTATTCTCAAGTTATCTGGAGATTAAATTCTGACACGGGAGACCAGGAGGCCTTACTCCGAGGACAGCCACAGTGGATGGAGGTTGAGCTTCCTAAATAGTGCTGCAAGAAGCAGGATTTACCATGATTCTGGTGGGCTTAAGGGTACTTAGTGTTGTGAAATAGAAGATCCTTGAGAAAGTTCAACCCCTCTCTCAACCATGAACACTGAACAATTGCCAGCCAAACTGAAACCCCAGCCCACAGTTCTTCCTCATTCCAACCTTTCAAGATCTGGGTAAACAAAAATACACATGCCATCTGAGGCGAAAGGTGTCCTGGAAGAATTACGGTTTCACCTCCTTGAGACGACTGAATCACTCCTGTGCTCTCGTGGACAACAAAAACATGATCTGGAGCCAAAATTTGTCAGGTCGAGGGTCTATGTTGGAAATGACAGCCTTTGGAGTTGCCAGTGGGATGCTTTGTATCAGATACTTAACTGAGCATTTTGTTCAGATTCTAAGAATCATCTTTTTGTTCGTAATTAAGTATGTACCCAATAATACACTCACAAAATTTCAATAGGGCTTTAAAATAAATGCCTAGCTCAGTCAATGTCCTAGGCAGGACAAGCAAGTTAAAAGGGCTAAATAATTGCAACAATTTAATTCCTCATTAATTTATTCTTCCTGATTTAATAGAATTAATCTAGCTGACAATAATGAACTTTAATATGAATTTTTATATACTTCACTTAATCAAAAAGGGCAGTTTTAAATTCATTTCAGAATGTCATACAATTAATTATTAATAAGGCACTTAATGTAGTCAGCTTCTGCTTGAGCTATTGTCATCTTATAGGACAGTTTCTGTATAAGTATGTAACATCTTGCTTTATGTAAGTTATATGTCACCACTGAAATTTTAAATAGTTGTTATATTGCTGCATATGATTCTTGTTAAAATAACATTTCCAGAATTTATATTGAAATGCGTTGGTTAATATGTAAATTGTTTATTAAAATCATCTCTTTTAAATTATATTTTGCTCTTACACATACACACTTTAAAATGATTTGTGATTTACAAGTAAACATATTTTGGAAATGCCTAATCAGCACAAATTATGTCTAGTAGGTTTTGTAAAATATTAGTTAACCAGCAGCCAGATAAATATCTATAGTGTATAGTTATTTCTGAAATCTGAACTAGTCCTTCTGTATTACCTGGGACGCTGTTATACTTAATTCTTCCCTTACGATTCATATTAGTTAATTTAATGTCAAAAGTGGGAGGGCAATTTTTAAAAATTACCTTGTTACCAGGAAAAAACTCTTCTCAGGCTTCTTTTTCGGTACCAAATGGTGGAATAAATCACGAGGACTACCTGATAGCAAAATAAGGCATGCTGATATGAAAAAAGTTATTGTTACAAACTAAACATAGATAAGCCACAATTTAGGAAGACTATACAGTCATAGAGTTGTAGTAGCCCCAAAATAAGGTTGAAAAACGTTTTAATACTGATCAGCCTCTATCAGATTAATTTGGGAATGTACACAACTCAAACGAACCTCCCAGCTCTGAATCAATACTTTGTGATAACATTTTTTTTTCCCTCTGTACAGAGGGAAACGGATCAATCACTGGAAATGGATTCTGCTTGCTTCCCCTAGTTGTTCAGGATAGGCTTTCATGCCAAGGCAAATCTCGGAAAGGCCTCTGCAGAGCACAGTCTAGGCCAGGTGGAAGCCAGGAGAGGACAACACTTCTGGAACAAGAACCTCCTTTGTAAACAGGAATCAGGCTCAGATTAAAGAGTTAAACTGGTCACACTGAGCATTGCATTAGATGTTTTATCCTGTAATCTTGAATTGCCATACACAATTAATGATAATGTGTGAGTGCAGAAATTGTTATTAATCGCACTACCCTTTAAAAAAGAAATTTTTTTCCCCTGGTTGTGCATCAGTATGCAAATTATCCCCTTGTGTCATTTGGCCTCAACCCTGTAGTCATATTCCTCCCATGACCTTCAGATCTTTAATGACCCTATATGGAGTCCAAGCCAATAAATGCATGGTACATGGGATTATTAATGATCTTAAAGATAATTTTAGAAAAAGGTACGCTATCTGACAAGTAATAAATTATCAGGATAGTAAGTAATAAATATAAGGATAGTTTATCTCAGGGCATAAAAATAATTTTTTTTAAAGTTAGCAAATGACCTAAATGACCTCTATTTCTTCTCTTTTATGATTAATAGACCTAGAAACTAGCTAACTAATCCCCTTCCTCCCTGCTGGTCCCGTTCCTCAGCTTTCCACATGTGACTGAGAGGCTGATACAAAAACTTATCCAGTCCTTCGGTTCTGGTCCCTGGCTAAGGCATAGAAGACAAAGGTTAAAGGCCAACTTTGACCCTGTATATCAAGGACCTGCCTGGAGACAGACAATGTGGTTCTTTACCAGGGGGTTGTGTTTTCTGGGTAATGCTGTCTTGGAGGTGAAGAGGTAATGCATAGCAAGAGTTCCTGAGAACAGCGGTTCGTTCTCCCCTTAGACTGGATACTTCACTGCATTCTTTTTTTGGAAATTTTTACTTTTGAAATTGTGAATATGGAAGGGGCAGTGAGAGTGCCCAGTTTTAAGCTACTAATGTGAGATCACTGAATGGAATTGAGAAGAAATGGGCACATTCAGCTGTTCTAAGCCACCAGGATACAGTTCCAGCACATTGTAAGCCCTAAAATACTAAATTATTTCACCCTAAAAGACTGAAAAGTATGCTAATATAGTTAAGAAAAAATTAATAATGGTAAGCAAAAAAAAGTTTCCAGGGTTAATGAGAAAATCAACGCATGGATTGTCTCAGTTTTTAATACTTTGACTAGTGACCACACCATAACAGTTTTTAAGAATGTAGGCCATATGTTTTTCAAAAAGTCACAGATATATATATATATAAAGACAGTAATAGTTTCAAAAGTTGAATCTTTTAGTATGGCAGGAAACAATATTTAGAATCTGATCTAATGCTTTAAAATGAATTTGTTATAGCTCCAAGATTAGTCTTAAGCCAAGACAGGACAGTGTTTACATCTCTACCACCTAGAGGATTAAAATATAATATTAAGGATGTTGGCAATACTGTGTTTTGGTACCCATCGTTGCACTGTGGATTGGTCACTGTGAGCATTAGGACAGAACAGTATTACTGAAATGCTGCAAACAATGCAAACTAAAAATGGGTCCTCTGAAAGAGATGAGAAAGGATATCAAAGAATGGCAATCCAAGAGGAGACATTAGGCCTGCAAGTCACTAGTACAAGCTACAAATATCACACTCTATCTATAGAATATGCAATTTGCCAAGATCCAAATTTAGTCGTCATGTAACAAGCACCTATCATAAGACTTAACAAGAAAATTACTCAGAAACATATAAATACATGTGACCTAAAAAAACCAACTTTTAAAATAGCTTATTTATAATGTATACTACTTCTAATATTAAACTGGTATCCAGTTTTATCTCATTTAATATTAGAAATAGTACACAATGACTCAACACCCAAAAAGAAAAATCTAAATATTATCATTTTGCTTCTATTCTTTGGCTTAATGAGTGTTATCAAGGAAAACACATTATTTGGTTAATAGTTATATGTAGAGCCAGCATGTATACCAATGAGATGACTATTTATGATTCTTATAGAGTGAAATATCACAACCCTATGGCAGCAAGGCAACAGTCTTCTCTCCTTATGGTGGATTTCACCAGAAGAGACTGTTAGGTAGTTAGACAAGTGAGGGCACTGGGCAGATAGGTGGAGGGGAGGGAGGATGGTCAGGAAGATGGCATAATGCCCGCCTCCAGTTTTAAGGGACTTTATTCCCTCTAAATGAGTGCCAGGAAGAAATCGGTTAGAATCGGACAGCTGGAACTACAGGTAGCAAGAAGAACCTAACCGGACATGACCAATGCTCATTATAATATAATTAGCATTGCGGTTTAGGACCCCCATGGGTACACCATGGGTAAGGCCATACACAAAGAGGACAAATATGACTAGGGATTCCAGGGGCAAGAGCCATCAATCAATCAAAAGACCACCTCTAAGCCAGGGTATAAGAGGAGGAACAAAGACCACCGCTTTTCCTCCCTTAGATCAGCCCGCCTCCCACTCTTGGAGGTATACTGTTGCTTTGCTAATAAATCCTTTAAAATCTTTTGCTACACAATGTTCCACCTCCTGTCTGAATTCTTATTTTTGGGGTATGATAAGAACTGAGGTCTTTTCCCTTCCCCTTTTGGGGTACCAAGACTACTGCATAAGATTTTTTGAGAGGCTGTATCACACTTTTGACATTAATATTTAAAGAAGTATTTTTTGGTAACTCTTTGGAGGAGGAAACAGAGGAGTCAAACAAATATCTGGCACCAACTATGCTTTCCAAAAATTTGATATAATTCATTGTTGTCATTTTTAAATAGTCAGATGAACACATGCCCTAAAGCCTGTCCTAATTCAGGGACTTAGTCTAGCTTTTCCATGGAATGCCTCCATTTGTCTTTCTTCACTCAAAATACCAGACCATGACAAACTCCCCTATAGTTAGTTCTCTGATTTGGTGTGAAGTTATTTCTAGTCATTTCACGGAGCAAAGAGTTCTTTGAAACTGTCACTTTGTGAAGTAGTCTTAATTTCAGCTCTTTACAGAAGACCCAGGGCTTCTATCCCTATGAACCTGTTGAAACCTCAGTTCCTAGGGCCGATACAGATATCTGATACTGCACAGATGTTTCAGTTCCTCTTCATGGCTGACATCAGCAACTTTTGTTTCTTTCTTTCAATCTTGATCAAGTATTAGATATTTTTAATATTCTTTTTAAATTTAGTATTTCTATGTTTTGAAAAGGGGATGCAACTGGCTTAGCTTATTCTGTTGTTGGAAGCTATCTGTTCTAATTTCTAGGATTATAGAATTTTAGAGCTGGATAGAATATTAGAGATCTTTTCTTCACTTAGTGTATTGAGATTTCAATTTATTTATACATCATCAGGTACCAGAGAAGTTTGGCACTTGAAAAAAATTACCTGGGTTATTTCAACTTTATTCTGTTCATATAGATTCTAAAATACCTAAGCTAGAGATTCAATTCAATTTTACACTTAGCAAGCATCTCTAGTATAGTGAGTTGCTGCAGATAACAAGAGGTATAAATTATGGACTCTGACTTGAAAGGAGTTCATATTTTAAACAAGGGTTCCAAATGTTAGCAGATGGCTGCAAAATGATGTTATAAGTCTATTATTAGAAGCATGAATGGAATGCTTTGATAGATTTGAGGCTCTTAATGCAGCACAGGGAAATCAGAGAAGACTGGAGGATATGCTACTGTGCTGGATTATGAAGCATTTATAAATGTGTGTGTGTGAGCGTGTGTGTGTTTATGGGGCTAGTGGTGACAGTTAAGGGCCTTCTAGGCAGAGGGAAGAGACTGCTGATATTAGAAACAGTGCTGTTAGTGACAGTGCAGGAGTCAATAACATTAAAAAGGACCTCTACAATTCATGGGTTATATAGGTTTAGCTCAACAAAC